GACTCCCAGATGGGGAAGCTGGACGAGGCCAACCGGGTTGGCCCCGCCCAAAGACGGACGCACGGACGGACGATCATGCGATTCTACAAGCTGCATCTGACTATGTCAGATGAGCTAAAAAACTGCTGGATTCAACAATAAAAGCAAGGCATTCTAACAATAGTTTAAATGTAAAATAGTTTTAATTTTTAAACCCAGCATGGGAACAACGAAACTTAATTTCTAAGCGCATTTTCTGCACTCGGCTAGACTATACGGCCTAAATTCCCTATCGCGCAGGCCTCCGAGTTGCTGTGCATGAGAATTTGCAGCTTGGCAACGCCACACGACGGTAAATAACGTGAAAACCATGTCGTGCAAAAGTATGATTTATGTCAAAACGAAGGAAGCTACGCGGTTTGTAATACTACCGGAAGATAGAATAAGGACCAGTGAACAAAAGAAGCTCGTGTTTGTAAATTGTATACATTTGTATTTTTATTCACATCGAACTCGTACGACAAAAATGTAGTGAAATCAGTACCAAATGCGAGTCAAACTCCGTTGTCTTCATTAACTCCTAGTGTAGCCTGTACTTAAGTTGTAGGCTGTAGTGTAGGGCCTATAGTCTATACCATAATGATAATAGTAATACCTTTCCAACTTTCGGATTCCCCATGCTGATTACTTTGACTCGCAGAGGCTGGGATGCAGACTTATCGCTATCCATATTCAATAATTAGGTACGCCGCGTTAAAACGTATTTTTACTATATACTCTACTATACTAGCCTACATTAGTACATATACTTTAGTTTTATGTAGTTAGTACATATAGTAGTTAGTTATTAAATATACTACTAGTAAATAATTTTCATTGCGCTCCCTATAGTATAGCCCGACCTTATTGCCATCTATCGGCGCATTCATCTATTTACGGACCGTCTACTATGGTCTACATCCATTTACCTTTTGAATACTTTACCGACAAGCACCCGCAATAAATTGCATAATGGCGCAAAAGTGCATGAACAAATAATAGAAATAAATAATAAAACAAAACGAATTGGCAAGTAAATACAAACGCACACAAATACAAAGCTATTTTGTCGTCGGATAATAAGAGCATAATAATAAATCTAACAAGTGAGCGTCGTTTAGCCAAGAGACTGTGCCCAATGTAAACAAACAAAAGACGGAGACAAGATGTTCAATGTTGCTTGCGCTTCTGTAGTTTATACGTTTAGAAGCACTTCGAGCTATTATAAAGGGGAGATAGGTTGCAGTTTGATGCGCCTAATTGATAGTCATGGTAGAAAACGTAGAAACAGATCAGACGCTGATAGCGAACGGCCTGCGAGAGCTTCTATTTAATCTGAAGCCAGTTACAGATGGCGCAATCACAATGGAAAGTTTGGAAGATGATATCCTGAACTTAGAACAAACGGACGAAAATTTTCACAAGTAGGATGCTCTCCATTAGTTGACACACATATTAGATTGACTGTAAATGCTCTTGTGGCAGCACTGAACTAGGGAGTAGTTAGATACAATAATGTAACCCAACAAGAGTAGGGTTACTTGTGGGGTTACATTATTGAATATTGTATCTACTAATCCAGAGAGACATGATTATGATACAAGATTGCGTGGCACAGCTTTGCTGTTGATCCTAAGCGCTGCGCGCGGATGAGACGCGCAGTTCCGCGGGATATGCGCACGCGACCGCGGGGATGTTGAAGTATGAAGCGCTGTCCTCAGTGGAGACGTGCACCAAATTCGAGGCCCGGCGCACGTCTCCACAGCGGTCAGCGGATGGTCTGTAGTTTTAGAAGATGACAATGATTATATATTGACGATATTGTAGGAATTGGAGATTATAAAACCGTAACAAAAATTGCTCAGTCATTCTCCAGATTAGCTGAATCAAAAAGATTAGAATTTAATATGAACAAAATAAATACAATGGTTATAAAATTCACAAACAAAGAAAGGATAGAGAATTTAATAGGCAACTAAGTAATCAAAAAATGCACCAAATATTCATACCTAGGGGATTTAATTAATGATATAGGAGGTTATAACGATATGATGAGTCCGAACTTAAAAATGTAGGTTCACGACGAGGGAAATATTATCATGGGCAGAAGAGCCAAATTATGGAAATCATACTATAGAAGCAAGAGTGAAATTATACGAATGCACAGTTTGACCTTCCTTCCTAAATAACAGTGAAAGATGGACTAACTTAAAGCCGCACTATGCGCATCCAAACGCTAATTTCTCCAGTACTAGACTAGCAAATACTTCGTGTCGTGCATAATCACACTACCTTATGGCAAAATAAACTCTAGTTCCTCCCATTCCACTGCGCGTTTGCTTAAAACCCACAATAAAGAGGTGCGAAATCTGGTAATCTAGCGCCAACGCCGACTTGTTTGCCAAACAATTTAGCCTCGAAGCGGTTAGGTGACGTCACATGTTTTTATCTTTGCTACACCCGTACCGCTGTACCGCAGCACCGCTGCACGGTTGCTTGGGAGAGCAACGCAAAACTGTCAACAACATCGGAAAATTTGAACAACATTGGTGGTATTTTCAAATGCCTTTTATAAGACAACGCGCAGTGAAATGGGAGGAACTAGAGTTTATTTTGTCATAAGGTAGTATGATTCTACATGACACGAAGTATTTGCTAGTCTAGTACTGGAGAAATTAGCGTGTAGATGCGCATAGTGCGGCTTTAACTAAGGAAAAAGTAAAAATGTTGGAGGATTTCCAAAATGAGTGCCTGCGCAAAATAATAATCACGCAGAAAACCTAGCGAAAGGCATTGAAAGACGATGAAAACTCCAAAGAAAAATACGGAGAAATCAGTAAAAATAACATATAGTTTCTATACGTAAATCGTGGTAAATACATATAAAAACGCATTATTTTATTGAAAATCCCCATATTTACTTATAAAACATCGAAGAGATGGCGCTGTGGCATGTAAACATTTAGCTCCTTGGCCCCGATTAGCCTCCGAAAATTGTGTGTTTTATTGAATTGTTCAATGAATGACGCACTCGTCGACTTCCGACAGCGAGTGAAAATGCAGAAAATTGTCCTGTTCGATGCGAAATGCATCGGCCGGGCATTTCATTATTTAGGAAAAGTAAATAGGCCGGCGAAAAACGGTAGGCACAGCAACGGCAGGTACGGTAGGTAACGTCGGTGACGCCCCATTCATGTCCATCAACGAAGAAGGCGGAGCTTATTGTATTTACGGAGATGCCAAAATTCAAAAGAAAGACCTTTCGCAGTGCGCTAAACAGCGTGTTATTTTCGTTTTTGTGCCAAACTCTATCGTAGGAAACCGTTCTAGCCTAGCAGAATGCCCTAGTTCGTGAGATCGGCGATCCCGTGCCGTAATAGGTATTATAGCTAAAAGTTGGTATATAAGGGGGCGGCGTAGACTATGATTGGAAGACACAAAGTGTCAATCCTCGGCGAGCGCCTTGGGATCATGGTCGCGTTACGTCTAGGGAGTAGTGTACTGCGTGAGGTACATTACAATACAAATTTATACCCCAATTAAGATCATTTAATTGGTGATTTGCTCAATGTGCTTTATGCTCTAGCCTCTCTAAAATTAGAAACTAAATTAGAAACATTGTCAATGTTAGCTGTTGCGCATGTAACTTGTAAGCGTCACATAACGACAAAACACAATTTAAATTTTTAGACATATTCCTAGCGACATAGTCGCGCAACACTTCCTAAACAGCCAATCACAGCCATAGAGAATTTTTTGGTTGACACATGAAATAAACATTTTGTAACGAATGTTAGGCTGCTCAGCTGTCTTTGAATTGCAACACTTTCTGTCAAACAAATCAGTTTATTTATGTGTTTGTGGAAATTCATGTTTATTATATTTGGAGCATTTATGCCGAGAGGGTCTATGTCCCCCAGGGTACTGCCGGAACGTACCTCGCCTACTCCACTAACGAGTCTAGGGAGTCACCTACGCCTACTCCTTAACCCTAACCGTAACCCTAACCCTAACCCTAACCATATCAAATAGTTACTAGGGTACGTTCCGGCAGTACCCTGGGGGACATAGACCCTATGAGCGCCATTTATAGTGCAAGGCTGACCAGCTAAATCAATGGTAAACCCTTGTAACACTCAACAGTCTTGAGTTTACAAACTAAAAATACCTGTGATTGTGTGGCAAAAAAGGACACAAACTTTGGTTCAAGGATGTATTAGGTGACCCCATGCATTTTCGCAATGTGCGACATGTACAAATATGCAAATGTGGACAGCTGTTATATCCTTGGGCCCAAACTTTTACTTAATGCCAGTCAGTGATGCATGCAGTGTTGCAGGGACCAGTTGTTGTGATTTTGATGCTAAACGTTACAGTTGGTTGTCACTTCAGTGTGTTTTGGCTTTGACTTAGATTATTTTTCCTTACTGACCAATGAAGGGGTGTGGGTGGGTGTTTTTTTTTTGGAGGGTGGACTGTGTTCTTGTAGGGTTTTAATCATTGCAAACAGATGAAAAGTTGTAAAAAAAATCTTAATCATAGGCACTTGGGCTACACCACTCACCCACTTTATCTTTTGAGAATTTGTGATATTGGCGAGCATGTAGTAAAGTTTGGTGTATTATAGAAGAATATTTGAACTGAATTTACATGAAATTATTTGGCACCTTTCAGCATAGACATTTAAAACTCTGGGAGTAAATATAGTTTACATCTATTTACTATCATTGTATTATTAGAACAGCCCATTGATATATTTTATAGGTACATCTTAGTGAAACACATCAGAGAAAGGATAGACAAGTCACTCGGTGCTACAGCTAATCTTCACTTGAACCAGATTGTTAAAGCTAATGAATTGCCTGGTGACCAAAGCACATTGCTTGCCGACATCACGGATGAAATCATGAAATCACCAAGGTCAATCACCATATTATATATGTACCACCTGTTATGTTAAAGGTGGTGTAAGACTAGGCTATATGGCATCATTCTCAACTGTTTATATAGAGAAAGTAACAAAGTAGATATGGCTAATGTAGTGTCTCAATCAACATGTACTGTGTATCTTTTTAATCATGAAAAGTATCAAATTTGAATACTCTATTGTTTTTTAGCTGTTAATAGCAGTTCATCATTTAGGTAATTGTTAAATATTCTATACCAAGCCTCATAAGTTATCTAGAAAAAAATGTGCTGTGCAGTTGTTTACCTTATTAATTTGTCTTGGAATTTTACACAAAAGGTACGAGTTGTTAACTGATACTCTGAAGACGAACGTATTTGAGGCTGTCAAGCAAATATTAGATGAAGGAGTTACTTCTATAGACACCTACAGCAGTAGCAATGAGCCGAGATGTCTTACACCTTTCACTAGCATGGTGTACAGATCATTCAATGATGATACTTCTTCTGTTGGTAGCAACTCATTGCAACAGGTGTGTGAATTACAGGTGTACATATAAAAACAAATATGTTTCTATTCACTTCTGATATTACTATCAGAAACATAGATCGACTAGCAAATGAATATTGGTACATAAATTGTACAGAATTGGTGCAGAAATTGGAACAGAAATATTGCTACAAATAAATATTGGTACAAGAGAGAGATTTAATTGCACAATAATTAAATAATGTATGAAAATTTTACAATACTCTATGGGTTTTTCAGAGCCTCCTGTTTTTAAATCCTGAGCAGTATATTTATCTTGCTGATAATATGAGCCCATCAAAACCACTTAAGGTTAGTGACTGTTATAATACTAATTACAACATCAAAATGAGCTCTCTTCAGAAATCTAGATATTCACGATATATCTGTTAAGTACGAACATTGACACAAATTACCAAAGTATGTTGTATGTAGAAACCTTTTAATTCTTTTATTAACATTAAAGACTAACACTGGAACGTATTTATACACTGGCACGATTATACATTTACAATTTACTGGTACAATAAATTTCATAACTGGGTACTACAAATAATTAAACAGGTTTGGAGATTAGCAGAATGTTTCTTTAATAACGGTTCACTGAATATATGCACGATTTATAGGTGAGACTGGATGCGGTGCAAACCTTGTATCGTATCCCTGCGAACGAGGTTGTTCCCAGTGATCACTGGAGCAAGTACAAGGCTCATCTTCTGGACATGTTGTGCGATCCCCATCAAGAATTATTTGTCAGTGATGCTTATATTTTAGAATAGTTGCTATTTATGTATCGTAGTTAATGATGTTTCCATGCTGGATAAAAGTTGGTTTTAAACTCTGATGGGATTTGGTACACGTGGAACGTGGTATTTTCAAGGGTTCATTTCATTTTCTAGTTGGATGCAAAAATGTAATCGTCTTTAAATTCGATCAAGAAAAATAATACTAAATGCCTTTCAAATTATGCCAAACTCATGTAATGTTTGTATTAATTTTTCAGTACTGGGCCCTGAAGGTTCATGCCAAGATGTTTGTGGTAACGGCACCTCATGTAAACCGAGAAATTTACACAAATCTAGGTTAGTATTGACAGACCATAACACCAGATCTTACAAAAGTGTTTGTGTACTATGTCTATGCAAATATGGAGAGTATTAATTGTTTATTCAAAATGAAGTCCAGAGAATTAATTACATGGACTCTTGTCTTTCCTGCATTCATGCACAAAAATTCAGAGGGAAATGTAATGAAATGGTGAATGCACATCGAATGGCTATGTATTAATGTGTCTTCTATTCTGTTCATTGCAGTAGAGTATATTGCACTGCAGTTTTCCTCAAAGACCAGGTCAATCCCATCTTTGCACCGTGGCATAGATGCCAGCAAGAAACAGAACTCGCACCTGCTGCTTGCTGTTCGGCTGCTTAATGACTTTCAGCAACAACTCCCTCTTTACTGGCTTCGTTTCTCTGACCGGTCAGTAGATGGTTGTGATTGTACCTTATTACTTTATTATTGGCCGTCAGTTCGAATTCAGCCGACTCAGCCGTGTTACCCCCCTGGTGTTACTTTTTTAGTTTTCCTGTCTTCTGCCCCCCACCTGACTCATCACAGCTAGCTTATTTTGCTTTTCTTCAAAATGCCTCAGCAAACCTTGCCGGTTTGCTTAAATTTGGCATTTTTTTACCTTTTTGCATCTATTCGTGTATTGTAGGGCCTTTGCAGCTGTGTTGCGTTGGTTTCTGTAACTGGCTTCGCCCAGCAAAGTTACTCACTTTTACACAGATGAGGTTGTAAGCCTTGTGCCAGTTATTAATTTTATGTTTACAATCACCATTATTATCTATTGCCATGTTCTCTAGGTACCATGCTTGTCTTTAGCTATCTTTTTATGTCTGATTATTGAGCTTGATTACTCTTATTAAAGTTGTAGTGTGAAACTATAATAGTGTGATGCAATGCATTATGATGGTCTTTATTTAGATTTTTACAGGACTACATAGAAGGGGCTACCTCACTTCTTGCAATTTCCAGTGTAAAAGACAGCCTTTGCCCTTTACATTATATGGCCTTGGTTGATCCCCATGCTTCTTGGTTCAAGAAATGGATGGTATGAGAATATCTGATTCCAATCAAAATGTAATAGCCTTTAGCAGAATAAAAATTACTCAGCTGTGTCTGTGGTTACTTGTGCATAAGAAAACTGGCTGATATTTGTAGTTGCTGTATCACCTATATTGTAGCGTTTCCTCTAATGTTGTGATTTTCACCAGCATTCAGAATATAGCCGGTGTGTAGTCCTGGAACATTTAGAGAAGTATCCTCACCTGCTTATGAAGTCTGTGGACTGTCTTCTGGCTTATGCTGCCAATCATGAAGGAACACAAACCTTGACTCCCACTGAAACGACTACATCTCACTTGCCTGGGGCTCACATTCAGCAAAGATCAGGTGAATGCAGCGAATAATTCATGCCAAATATATTAGTAATGGTGGTGGCGGTGGCGGTGGCGGCGGCAACAGCAGCAGTAATCATGATATCATAACAGTTAGTAGCAATTACCAGCAGTACTCCTATATCCAGTAGCAGTAGTTTCTGATATTTGGAAAGTCCAAAAGAAACACAGATGTGTGCTAGTGTGACGGCTGCATCTGCTGTACATTGCACAGTGTATTTAGCTTGGAAATTTTATTAGGTAAATCTTTAACATCTGTGAACGTGTATTTTTCAGCCCCCGCTGGTGATGCAATAGCTGCAGGTGTCGTCTATAAAGAAGCCGCTGTGAAGTTCCTGCTAGCTTTGCACTCCATGCAGCTGGTCGGTGAATTGCTGCGCTATGGGACGTCTAGGTCCCTATTCATACAGTTACAGCCTGGAGGCGTTTCTCTTACCGACGTCATAGTTGCATTTACCAGCATTATGTTAGCCCCGGACAGCACTGAGATTGGTTAGTAGGTAAATGGACTTGGAAGATCCATCTGTATGTAAATGATTGTTACTGAAATCAATATGCGAGGCAAAACTGACAGGTGGGGGGTGTTGAGTGCTTACAGTTACATGCATCTTGCAGTCAGTTACATTGTCTTAAAATCTAGTTAATTCAGCATCAGTTTGTGGCATATGCCATCTTTCCTGTTATACTACCTACCACTAGTACTATCACGCATGTCATGAAGCTGCGTGCGTGCGTGCGTGCGTGCGTGCGTGCGTGCGTGCGTGCGTGCGTGCGTGCGTGCAGATATAGGTATGATTTATTTAATCATGTGGTATATTAGTATTTGTAGGAATTATTATGCTAATGTGTTTTGATTATAGGTGAGTTCTCGGCAGCTGCAGTGGCGAGGGCAATCTTGGAGAGGATTGCAGCTCAGAACGTCGGATCTCACCTACTGTGCAGGTTCGCTGTCATGCAGAGATTACTGAATCCACTCATTCAAGCTTTTCACAGTCCAGTAAGTGACCCTTATCTGAAATTTGCGGCTTGTTGTTTGTGGTATTATATCCACAATTTTTGCCCATTCCAGCCCGTGCCTGGCTTCACAAATCACAAGTCAGTGTGTGTGTGTTTTTTTCAGGAGCAGTCTATTGGCACAGCAGACACAGTACACCAGCAGGCTATTTTGAATGCTGGCTGTGTGCTACACTCACTGGCTTCATCTAAGGAAGGAAAGCACTACCTGCTGTACGGAAAAGTTGGAAAATGCTGCAAAGCCTCTTCACCATGTGACAGTGTGGTTAACAGTGATTCCTGTCAACCTGATAACAATGACATTGAAAGTGCATCCCCCCTAGAAAAGCCGGTAGCAAATGTCGTTGTAGATCTGCTCATTCAGCTGCTGCCGCTAAATGATGCTGTGACACACCCGGAAACTATGATCGCAGTTCAGCAGAATTTGCTAGGCATCTGCCAGCAGCTCTACTCACATCATGATGGCCTCAATATGCTAGCAGACTACCGACTGCACATAGCACTGGCTAGCAGCTGGAGAGATGTGACAAGAGAGATCGAGGAATCAAAGACACCGACTCCAGGTGAAGATGAAGTAGGTGGGCTACAAGAGGCTGACCAGAGTATGAAGCAGGACTGGGCCAACCACCTGATTGAGGGATTGCTTAGCTTTGCAAACACACCAAAAGGCATTGGCATGCTGATGGACACTAGCATGCTGCATATCTGCTCTGATTTACTCTGCTGCCAGCATGAGGAGAGATATCAGATTGGTGAAGGTGAGCACCACGAGATGGCAGCACTGATCACACGGCTGGCCTCGACTGCAGCTGGCTGCAGGGCTATTGAACGGGCAGGCCTTTTCGAGTATGCCGTAGAGCGAGTGTGGAACAGACTGGAGTGTCGACAATCGATCGAGGAATTCGAGCAGGAGAATTGCGGGGTGCTGCCAGACAGAGTCCTGCAGAGGAGTTTGCTAACTATTGCTAGATTTGTGAGTATTTACCCAGCAGTGTATGAACTCCTGGCTGGCCAGTCACTGTCTGGTTGTCAGGACTTCTTGTCAAGAAAGGTGCCCTGGACGATACTAGAACTTGTGGATCGCATCGTAGTCATAGATAACCCATTGAAGATTCTCTCACTCTTTAGCTATGATCAGTCTCATCTATTTGGATTGCGCTTGCTAATGTTCATGTGTTCGTCATTAGACTGCCTTTTGCTGCTAGAGGCACAATACAGCGTGCAGGCTGCTCTGCTAGCTGCACAGCGAGACAGTGTGCATGAAGAAACATCTATGGTCATACTGGATGAGCTGTCCGTAATGCGCAACCACATCCTCGTGAAATCTGCGACGATCGGTGGTGCGAATGAGAGAGTTCTTCCACCTACCTATTGTGCTCACTCGTTGACTTTCCAACCCGGCGCAGTCGTGCATGAGAGTATATACGCCTGGCCGTTACTCACTGAACTCCCAGTTCCATCTACATACGTAATCGTATCAACGAATCAAAAACGTGACGTGAGCAAATATCTTGAAGGTTTATTGACTAATCAACGTGGTGTTTTGGACGAGCCGTCGCCAATGTGGGTCAAGAATTGTTCCGTTGCCTTCACGAGCATGCTGGCTGCTGGACATTGGTGCTCGCAGGAAAATCTTGCTGAACTTCTAGAGAGGACCTCATGTCATATGGCTAGGAGTAGATCGCCTCTTGAGAGCCCAGCAAGTTTAGACACGAGTGACATTGTCCAGAAAATGTGGAGCATAGGTGCAAAGGTGGCTGTGGAGTATGGAATCAGACTGGAATTGTTACCAACAAAGAAGTCGGGTGAATTGAATAGAAAGATGGAGGAAGAGCTGCTTGAGGTGTTACTGTATTGTGAAGGCCACCTCTGGATTAGACAACGATTAGAAATGGGTCTTCTCAGGTAGTTGAATCCTTTGAATATATAAAAACCTGTTGGCCTAAAGGATGAGTTCATATCCAAGCTGTTGATACACAAAAATAATTTGATACTTTTTATATGTGACATTGAAATTATCAGGTTATATCGTCAAAAATGAAGAGTGAGGCTTTCTCAATTATGTAGTTTAGAAATTGATGTGTCACATTGATGCAAGATAATGGCTTCATGCATTATGGATTTCTAAGAATATTTTTTTTGCGTTTTTGCTTTTTGGTTGTAATATGTGCTGATATCTATGGATTTAAGGTTCACGGATGGCAACACCTATCCTGGCTTTGATTGGTTTGTGGCCACAGTTTTCCTACTTTTCGGTGGCGATGGGCGGAGGAGTAGTGCCTTTATGAAGAATCTCGCAACACTCCCTGCAGCCACGTTTCTGTGCATGCCTGCTGCACATAAGTCTGTAAGTACAAGTTTTTGGTGCATCTAATAAGCTACAACGTACACTGTTTGTATAGAGCCATTTTAACAATTTTGGAAGTTGTCTTTGATGTACGACTTGTAGTATAATGTCGTTTGTGGTGTCGCTTTCTAGGCCTACCTTCCGAGAAGTGTAGCACAGAATGGCCTACATCCAGTTTATTTCATCACTGGTCACTGGGTGGAGCTGCTTTTAGCAACAGAGCTATCAGTCGTACATGCTGCTTTTTCAGTGAATGGCATCAGTGCAGCCCAGGTAGTTATGGTTTAATTATGATACTTGGGCATTGATAGATAAATGTTTCATAAATTATCTTAGTGATGTGTTTCAGAGGAATTATAATACCAACTATTAAAGTTTAGGTTTTAATATATTAAATTAGTTAATGTGGGAATTGGTTCTGTGAACACCGCGACGAGTCATGCTTCATGTGTGGATTTATGGAGGAAACTATTAATGTTTACCTAGCAATTGTCCGCTTTTAAGTCCGACACGTGTACTGTTATCAGTGTTGATTTGTATTGCCTATATTTTGTAGTTATGCTATCATTGGATGTCGCAATGCTTCTGGAACTACCTAGACTGGAAAGAGATTTGCCAGTATATCTCTTTGTGCTTGCTTCTGAATATTGATTATCAGGTCCACTTCTGTATGGCCATACTCAGACACCTACAGCCACTTGTACAGGTATGTGATTCTCTTCATGCATTTCTTGGACTTTCAACCTGGTTAATGCTGTATTTTTCCTGACCTTATCTGGAATCTAGAAATAGATTCAGTGGTATTTTAGTAATCAGATGCAGTTAGATTTGCCTCTTGCTGCACAAATCCCTGCTGTCTCGAATGCCCGCACGTGTGATACAGTTGGCTAAATCCCCAGGACTGTAGGAAGACTTGACCAGCTCTATCACTGCTCGTCAAGTTCTTTCTTTGGTCTGAGTGACAAATAGTCTTGGTGCTCTGCCAAAAATCGACTGCTGTGCATCCACCGATGCCTATGAGCTGTGCTGTTTCAGCTCTCGACCGTTTCAATAATAGATTCAATTGCTGCTTTATATAGTACTATAACAGCGTATATTCTAAATAATATTCAAGTTGGTATAATTGTTAGCATATCCGCTAATAGCTAAGAAAATATTTTTTACCGCAGACCCGTATTTGAGACATGATAACTTTGATCCCAGTAACTTGCTGATACTCCAAAATTCGTCACAGATTCAATCTCCTGGCATGCTTACCATAACTTATCACCTAAACAGTTAAACATGAAATGCTACATTGCCTTGCATTAGGCTGGTTTACCGAGTTAGTATTGGTGTTGTTGGCCAGACGTGTTAGCAATTGTTGCATTCTCGTTGCAGAAACACTGCTACTCTGAGGATTTGCTACTTATTTTACATGAGCAACCTATACGGGACTTCCATGTTGAACAACACATGATATTCATGGATGACCTGAAGGCTAAACATGGGGACAAGATCCTCAAGGACATGAATGATACCATGAATAACACAGAGCACATCTCAGCAGAAACACCTCTTGAGATGTTGTTTGAGAATTCCTTAACTTAAGAGCAGTTGGTATGTACTACTCAGGATGATTATTTATTTAGTAAATCTACCATAATAGCATGAAAGCTGAAAACTATAGTGTGAAATAGTCAACTCTGTTTAGTGGCATGATGTTTTGACGTTATTGTATGCAATCCTCTTTAATATGTCATTTTAATGTACAACAAGAAAGGAATCACTTGTTTGATTGAGTCTAACTGCTTGGTCATACAGATAGATAAATGTGGGGACATTATCTAGCTTCATATTATATTTTATTCTGTGATATATTCTCAGATAGAGCCAGGGTTATGAAAATGAAGTTTCATTAATTGAATAAATATTTGTATAAAAATCCATAAATAATTAATTGGAAATTATTATATTGTATATAATTCTCTAAACTATGATATTTATTTTGAATTGTCATCACATTGGTCAGTTTAGCGCTGCAACACATGTTTCAGAAGTAAAATAAACAATTGTGAACACATGTCTTTGTAAATATATTTATATTATATTTTTATGTTTTTGAGCCCATTCTTAGTCGACACACTCCAAATTTATCATTCTTTCCATTTGATCATTACAGTGTGCACCGCTTTATTGGGACAGGTCAGAAACCATGAAAATGTCCCGATTCAATAGCACCGTAGCTAACCCATTTTGCCTGGGGGCAAAGCCACGTGCGTGGTGTGTTCTGGGAAGGTGACCGCCATTGACCATGTATTAGATTGTATCAAATTTTTCGGGGGAGGGGCAACCACCCGTTGTTCACGGCAATCACCGTGTTAAAGGACGTAAATAATTAAATTATTAGTACATTTCCAGTCGCATGCGCATGCCTAGTTATAACCTACCTAAAATGTCTGTACACCTACACATTGTAGCTCATGTGTACAATGATCATGAAAAAACAGCCGTGAATTGTCAGTTTGTTATTATGTTTATGATCGTTTTAAAACGTTTGCTCAAGTTAGTTCTGCAAAAATATTTCTGTTTAACCGAGTTCCTGCCCGGTTTATTTAATTAACATAACATGCGTAAAGATTTCTTTTCAAAGACAAGCCTACGCTGGTAAAGCGCTTGATCGTTTATCCAAGCGGCGATAAACCGGCGAAAGCTCTATAATAAACCCTCTATTATAGCATTGGCACGGCCGCGACAATGCAGTGATCCATTTCCATGTCATGCAATGTCAGCACATTCCGTAGAAGGGAATTAAGTTCCGTTGAGTTGGTATGAACTCTCATATCTAAAATGCCTAAAAGTGCCGCTATTTTCGCTATAACGACCGAACCACCGACAGCACGATCGTAACACGCGGCGTGCTCGCGTCTCCGCGCAGGTTCCTCTTTAAATTTGTACGAGATATATATTGATTTATACGTATTACCGATGAGTGCATAAAATAATTTCGGTTCTTTCCCATATTAAGGCGAGGATCTCATATGCCAAAAGAACATTAAAGGGACAGTAGCCTCTAGGATTTTACGGCATACAACTGTACTTACTGTATAACAAATCGTCTATACCCATACGTATTTGTTCCCAGATACCTAATTTAATTGTTATAATTAATTACACATCGTCGCTACGAAATTTGAACGTCGCCATGACACCCGCGACCGTGCTGCCACCCTGAAAAAGTTGCATATTTGACAATTTATTTTGCACGCTACAGACCGAGGGCTAGTTTCACGGCGAGTAAACTCCCGGGAGAAAACCATTTCGCCATCTATAAACAATCAACTTGCGCGCAAAGAGCCTGGTCCTTTAGATTAATAAATAAGAAACACCCTCGGTCTGTAGCCCTTGGCTATAAAGTGGTTTTGCGCAATTTATCAGATCGTGCGCTTTGAGTGGCGCCACCGTCGTTGTAATCAAACTGTAGTCGTTAGTTTTAAAACATTTTTTTTAAATATTTCTAATGGTGATTGAACATTGTAACTTTTTATGTAGCATAATTATAACCTAAATTAGCTGAAAATAACCCTAGCACCTAGAGTAAACTCTCCCTTTAAACATTAAACATTAAATGTATACTAGCAGTGTGTGCGAGCGTGCGTGTGCCCGTGCGCGCGCGCGTGTGTGCGTGCGTACGTGCGTGTGTGCGTGTGTGAGTGCGTCGCAGACGCGCAGTCAGTGGCGTAGCCAGCAATTGGAAACAGGGGGGCCAAGGCGAGGGAGCGAAGCGACCGAGGGGGTAGGGTGTGGGAGGGGTATCCCCCTGTGCAGGTACACGCGTGCGTGCACGTAACACGCAATGCGTGCGCGTACACGCAATGCGTGCGCAACAACCATGCGCTGCCGCATACAAAGGCGTGCGTGCCAATAACGCTGCGTGCAACCGTAACACCGCATGCGTGCGCGTACACGCATGCGCGCACGTACACGCGTGCGTGCACCATAACACCGTGCGTGCACATACACGCGTACCCGCATCGATACACACTGCGCGCACGTACACGAGTATGCTCGGCACCATACACAATGCACGCATGCGTCATGTGCATCTGTGCAACGTAAGAAAGATACACTCAACTGTGCACCCTATGTACGCAGGCCCGCAGTACAGCCCGAGCGTGTAAATGTACACAGCATGCGCGCGTGCACCATAAGGAGCTCGGCTCTTGCACCGGATCTTGGACAAACCAAATGCTCTCTGTGCAACACCGGCATGCCCTGACTCTGTGACTGTGTAGCACGAGTCTTTGCGACCTGTGCGTGCGGACCTCGAGGCTTTTATCGCCACACGGAGAGTCGTGTTAGCTTCCCTTGCCCTGACCGCAGAGGTATGTTATTACAATCATCTGTGAGTTCTGTCTGTACGAGGGCGGGATGCTGCGCTATCGTCGTCATCGTAGTTGTTATTACGTTGTTGTGTTGTTTGTTTGTTCTGCGTTTTTGTTGGCGCGGCACCGGAGAGGAGAACAAGGGAGAAAGAGAAGGATGTTGTGGGATCGGATGAGGATCAGTGAGTGGCGATATTAGAGACGGGTGCGGAGCAATGAGTATGGGTTTGGATTTACGGATTGCAGTAAATCCTTACCTGCGAGAGTCGTGTTTTCGCTCTTAAGGAAGTTTGTGTACGCGGTGTGAACTGGTCCTATATAACGATGTTACCGATATTGTTAACAATGTCTGATACGTCCCATTGTTATACAATGTTATCCAAATTCCTTATCCAGTGTTACCACAACTTACACAATGGGCACTACGATTGTTATACAATGTACGTTAAATACAATCAGACATGATATGTTCTGCATGAATCTTGCGTGATGTTAACTCCCTCCGTTATCTCAGTCCTTGTTAGTATTACTGCTAACTTAGGTGCGAGGAGAGACGATAAAGAAGGGAGCAAGGAGAGAAGAGATAGAGAGAGAGAGATGAGAGAGACGAGAGAGAGCGAGAGAGAGAGGTGGGAGGGAAGAGAGAGAGAGGCAAGAGCGAGAGATAGAGATAGAGAGAGAAAGAGAGAGAGAGAGAGAGGAGAGAGAGAGAGAGGGAGAGCGGAGAGAGAAAGGTGGAGGAGGAGAGAGAGAGAGAGCAAAGAGAGAGAGAGAGAGAGAATAGCGATAGAGAAGCACGAGAGAGACGAGAGAGAGAGAGAGGGAGAGAGAGAGAGGAGGAGAGCGAGAGAGAGAGAAGAGAGAGAGGTGGGAGGGAAAGAGAGGAGAGAGGGAGAGAGAGCAAAGAGAAAAAAGAGAGGTAGAGAGAGAGAGAGCAGAGAGAGAGAGAGAGAAGAGAAGAGAGAGAGAGAAAGAGAGAGGGAGAGAGAGAGAGAGAGAGAGAGATTCTAAGAGAGAGGAGAGATAGAGAGAGAGAGAGAGAGAGAGAGAGAGAGAGAGAGAGAAAAGAGAGAGAGGAGAGAAGAGAGCCGAGAGAGAAGAGAGAGAAGAGCAGAGAGAGAGAGCAGCGAGAGAGAGAGAGAGAGAGAGAGAGAGAGAGAGAGCGAGACGAGCGAGAGAGAAGAGAGAGAGAGAGAGCGGGGGGGGGGGGGGCGGACGACGGGATTGATATCGTAAAGCTAGGCTGGGCCGCCACGTCCGCCTACTGCTGAGTCAGTGAGTGTGACCACCGTGCTGTAACCTTATACTAGTGGGCCACCACTGCACCCCTGCATCTCTGCATCCTCGCACCGTGATTCTCTATCACCCGTTCTAGTTGAACTGTGTTGCAGCGCGTTTACACTGACGACTGCGAGTTGGCTGCGGACTCCCGATTCGAGCGGTCAAGCGTCGACGCACGAGCGTTACGCGTGCGCCGTTGGATATCAGGGTTAGGGTACTAGTATATATAATATATATATATATATATAGGGTTAGGGTAATATATATATAAATATATATATACGGGTTAGGGTATATAATATATATATATAGGTTAGGGTAATATATATATTATAGGGCGTCTATGAAGGGGGTGAATATCACTATATAGTAAGTATTATATGATATATATACTTATATATAATACCCCTAACGCCTATATAGTATATATCATATATATATATAGTACGTAGTATATATATTATATGTAATGTATAATATGTATAATATGATATATATATATAATATACCCGTAAGCACGCACGCGTGTAGGCGTGGTGTGGTGTGGGGGTGGTAGGGTTAGGGTTAGGGTGGTAGGGGTTAGGGTGATGGGGTTACTATATAGTATATCTCCTCTCGGGAAAGTTTGTGTACGCGGTGTGTACTGTCGGCCTTTATATCAATGTTACGCATGATTGTTATACACATGTTATCACGTCATTGTTATACCAATGTTATCACGAATTCTTATACAGTGTTAACAATTCTTAACATGGGCACGCACGATTGTTATAGCAATGTACGATTCCTACAATCAGACATGCACCTGGCGTAGCTAAGGGGCACAGAGAAGGGGGCATGTTGATTGGCAAACAAAACAAAACAAAAATTTTTTCCTTGCCTCTCACGCTTCTTCACAGAATGGCCCACAATTCCTGTTACTTCTGCCAATCTCTGAATCGAACATTCTCGATAAAATGAGGCATTGTCAAGTCTAAACTCTCGTTCTAGCACAATGACCCAAGCCACGATTCTCCTGCTTCTCATTCCCTTTTCGGTGTGACACAGGAGTTAGTGAATGACATTAATTGTCAGACGAAATCTCTCAAAATCGACAGAGAAGACTTTGACGTTTCTTACCGGATTCGAGTATTTCTCAGCAGACAAGCGCACACAACATGACTAAAGAAAAGGAGATAATGTCTTATCTTGCTCAGATTTGTGTTGTTGGACAAGGTTGGCATTGATTGAATTTTATGGTTCTAACTCTTATTGAGCAGGAAGAAAAGAATGGAAATGACTTTGTGAATAAACTTGATTATATTCGAACTTCATAGACAGCCATTTTGGCATCCACCCACTCGGTTTTTATTTCAAATCCGATTTCAACACTATTTTAAGTAATGTTCTGCTAATCAGGGGAGGCAAATAATAAACA